ACTTTCACACAGACATTAATCTGCCACTGGTCACAGCCTTGCTTAGGATATATTGTCCATGGAGAATAAGAACTTCACTCCACCACTGATCCTCTCTCTCTCTCTCTCTCTCTCTCTCTCTCTCTCTGTCTCTCTCTCTCTCTCTCCTATCTCCTCCATCTGCGAGCCACTGTTTAGGCAGGAAGCTGTGTGCTCACAGAAGCCGTTGTCTTGTTAAATGGTGCAACTGAGGAGGAAATGGACAACAACCTTGATAACTTTACATCCTCTGCCTCAGACAACAGACTAAATCACTGGGAATGATTTGCGTCAGAGGCTGCTCTGCTTTTATCCTGCTTCATTAATTTGTGCTGCCATGTCTTATTTTTACAGCTTTACCACTGACCTCAAATGCATCATTATGTGAGAAACATGACCGAAAGCTTTCAGCCATGCTAATATCATTGTAAGGTTGTAATTTCAAAGAGCAAACATCAGCATGCTAGCCTGCTTAAAGCGACAACGCTAACATGCTGATGTTTAGTAGGTATGAATTAGCCATGTTCATCAAGTTAGCTTAGCCTGATAGCATGTAACATTTGATAATTAGCACTAAACACAAAGTAGTTTTGTTGAGGCTGATGGAAATGTCATCAGTTCTGCAGGTAGTTTGTTCATAAAGAAATTAAATTGATGATAGCGCTGCATGAAAAGTTGAGGGCTCAGTAAAATTAGAATTTATCCTTTAGTAACCTTGAATATCTGTAGCAAAGTTCACAGCAATCCGTCCTATAGTTGTAAAGATAGTGTTTCACTCTGAAACAAAACGGTGGACCCACCATCCCTTGAGCCCAGCAGCTAGTGTGCCTAAAAATTAAACATGCATTTAACTCATAATAGTTTGGCAAACATACTTGTGAAAACTCCTTAGCTTCTGTTGCAGCAGGACCTAAATTTACTGGGACAATTTTCATTTCAAAAAGTGAAGAAGAGGGGACGTTCAAACTGTCCTGTTTGACCAATAAAATTCAAACGCACACAGCACACTAATGTGGACACTTGAAGGCTGAGGTGAACCATCTCTGAAGGGACACTGGCAAACAGGTTGTGATTTCTCTCATCACATTTGGGTCGTTATCGCAGTCCTGTTGGCCTGCTGATTATAGGTTGATTCAAATTCTCCTTTAAGACTTAATTTAATCAATCAGGGTGATCTCTTTGACACTAGGTGTCAAAGAGACACAGTTTGTCAAACACAGTGTCTGATTGGAGAAGACAACCACCGACTAAAAAGCACTGTTTTCACACTGCTCGACACAAGCCTCAAATTGGCTGGAAATTAAAACTAATCAGCAATTACCCCACCAATGAACTTCTATTAATGCCTGTTTTCTCACTGCTCTCCAACTGAATCATAATTTCTACTTATTTAATCAATCTGAATAAATATGACACTTGTTTTTAGTTCCTTAATCCTTCATTGTGTTCATTGGGAGCCACAGAGGATGGGCTTTTGCATTCTGATGCGCATCCAAGAATATCGAAATAATCTCCCAGCTCCTCCTGAAAGACTGTAAATACAGTGCACACAGACAAACATATTACTCCTTAATCAAAACATGGCAACCACTATTGGTTCAGTTTATTTGTGTATTCATAAATACTTCATTTGCATGCGGCTCCTATTATGAACCTCCCGCCCATATTTCCACCATATTAAAGCTATTTACCCTTTAGAAAAAGTTGAATTGCACTCTGCTTGAACCGGCGGCTTGTTTCCAATTTAATCTTGTATCCCCTACCACGCGACAGCATATGAAAGACCCCTCAACACGGCACAGTAATGACTTAACAGGGTGTGTTCACAAAGAGAAATATCCAGCAATATAATCAATTATTCACCCACTCTCTCAGCCCTGAACAACTACAGTGCAACAGAGGATAAGCATGTGTGTGTTGCTTTGATAATGAAATTCAACACTGTAATCAATGAACAGTGAGGTAAATTGAATGTTACTGTTGTTTTTTAATGAACTAAAGCATTTTTGTGTGGATATTAACATTGTGAATTATAAAATCAGAGCTGGGCATAATATGAGGTTATTGAGGAACCTTGGTGGAGATGTGAATATGAGTGAGCATGCTTCAGTTTGTGCATGGAAACTGGACTCACCTGAGGTATTCTGCATTCAGAAAAACGCATGTTTTAAAAAGATCACTACCACCCCCTGCAGCTCACCACCTGTAATAACAGACATTATATGCACATAAATACCACATCACCTTTCTGAGCATCTTCATTGAAAACAGCTCAGTGGATTGCCACTCACTGAGCCACAACAACAAAAATACACGAAATGTGTGTGCTGCGCTTTGCCACAGTCACGCATGAGGTAACATAACAGAAAATCATCACACAAAGGTCCCTGTGAAGGAGTAAAGCTACTCATTCTGCATGTCTAATTCATGTCATGCCATCAATTGCATTTTCTGTGTTGTGGTATTTGACCGGTGGTCTGTGCAGATAGTTTTAGGCTCAGAGTGTTGGAGCAGTGACAGTCACAGATATGAGGAGGCATCTGAGGCATCATAACAGAATAAAGTGAAGCGCCATCAGCAATATTAATGGGGTAATTATGCAAATGAGACACCAGCTTTCATCACTCACAAAACAGTGATTTTTATGCCACGCAGACATGATGCTCATTGTTAAGATGTCTCCTTTCTGCTGGTTCACAAATATCTTTCTAAATCAGAGCTGATAATGCTGGAGGCTGATACATGTCTGTACGCTTGGCTGAAAAGCTTGTGCTCACTTATCAAGTCCCCGAACATCTATTCCCACAGAGGTAATCTGTGTCATGGTTCATGCTGTCAGAGGAAAACTAATTCCTGCTGTCATACTTTAATTCCACATACAACACTGATGGCACGCAGGAGTAAATCTCTCTGAGGACAAAGTGATATTTCCTGAGCTGCAAATGGTTTAACACACACAAACACACACAGAGAAGATGAGCCATCTTTTCATTAAAAAAGACAAAACTTTACCATGCAAACATTTTAGCAAATATAACTGTCTGTGTTGCAGACCTTGTAGAAATCAGCCTGTGTTTTACGTAGACCAATGCTGCTCCCTAGTGTGAGAAATGGGAACAAGGAGAAATGAAATGCAAGTCACTGCTAGTTAACACAAGAGGCTTCTCTTAGTAATATAATGTAATGCAAAACTTGAGTGATCCTCGTGTTGACCCTCCACAGGGAGGTCAGAGTACAGGTCAACTACAGATTATTGAAATATTAACAGGAGGAGATAAAAATTGTAATTTCAAATGAAGTCATCATGGGAAGCTGCCAGTGGTGAACTTTATGCTGATTGAAGAATCAGCTACAGAGCAGCACTCCTGGAGCTTCAGTGTCCTCTCTCAGTGGTGTTCAGCAGGGCAGGCAGTGGTTTTAAACTCCTGGTCTTCCTCCAGGTTTTCAAGTACATCATCAAATGAGAGGTAAAAAATTGTCCCTGATTGAGGACGAGAATAAAGGTCAGCTGGGTTCTTTTAATTGAGGTCAAGAATCTGAAAACTCTCAACATTATGTCACCCTGCAGAGTAAAAGCAGAAACAGAAGAGGAAAAGATAAACGTGAGACCGCATGAAGATGACTGGGCAACCTGTGAAAACATGTCTTTTTTACATAACTTGTGGCAGTATTAAACAAAAGTAGAGTGTGATTACCCTCCAATGATTTAGTATTGCATTTCTATAAAGTTGGGGTACTCACTAGAAACATATTAAAATAGGAATGGTCAAAATTAAAGCAACAGATTTCCTCACCTTTAGCCCCTAGTGCAGACGAAGCTCCAAAATGACTGGATCCTACACGTCACATAATGCGCATAAAATCATAACTTTGTTTGACCCATGCTGCCTGATGAATGCTCACCCTTTTCAACCTCCACACCCCCTGTTTGTAATGCAGGTTGTTTGTAATAAATATTTTAGTCTCAAGCCCAAGCTGTTATGACCCTGATGACATCATCACCTGATGATGACATCATCAGGGTTATTTTTTCAGACTTTAGAAAGCTGCTCCAGTGTCACAGGTGATACTTGAACTGCTTTCACAGGCTCAGTAGGTATCTTTGTAAACTGACCTTTATGTAAATATTTGGTGGACTACCACTTTAAGTTATTTTAATGAATAAATGGCATATTTTCTATATTAAACAAGCTTTTTTATTTAAAATACTTAAAAGTGGGATTAAAGATTAATTTGTGCCTTGTCTCAGTGGTTTATATTGAAAATCTAATTTGAATAATAGAAATGTGTGACTCAACCACACATCTAACAAAGCAATTAAACACTCATTTGGAGACATTTTCTAATTTGCCACCATTTTAGTGCAACAACTCATAATCCGTTCTTTGCTGACACACTCATTCATCACCGAGGACGCAGTCTAGAAATCGCAGTTTTAACTGGATGCTGCCTTGAATGTACTGTACGTGTCTGTCTCCACTTTTCCGCTGCACTAAGCAATGGGGAGGGAAAGGTTACCAAGGGAACCAGCCAGAGCGACAGAGTGTACGTTCCTATTAGAAGACAGCTATGATTACTGACTGGAAATAACTGAAGGTCACAGGTGACAACACTTCAGAAAGTCTGACACTTAAAATATTCAAATATTTTATGGTAGCTGATCACACACTTCCTATAGATAACTTAAATATAACATACACTGGGACAGTATTGATGAAAAACATGGGTTTATATATATGCATAAAATAATTAAAGTATGTGAGATATACATCTCACATACTTAAATTTTTTTAGATTAGCAGTTAGATTAGCAGTTATCATTGATGTAGAAAAATACATTATAAACTGTATGATTTTTATGATATGCTACATTTTATCTGATAACAAATAGTGCTACATTCATGAGTGTTAAAGAGCAATTTGTTCCACCAAGCAGAAAACAGAGGGCTCTGTGGTGAGACTATGACTCAAAGTTCACAGTGCTAGCATGACTTTCTCCTGGTGTGAGGATTGTTCTTGCCCAGGCAGAGTGTGACGCTGCTGGGGGAGGCCTGTGACGACGCGGTGCAGGAGCTGCACGAGGCCTGGTCCACCCTGTAGGAGATGGAGTTGTAGAAGACGGGATTGCTGTGGCCACGGTCCTGATCACTGTGAGATGGAGGGGGGCTGTTGTAGATATCCAGGCCACAGCAAATACAGGAGAACAAGGCTCTGAGTCTGCAGGGTTCAGGGATCTTTGAGTGCTCTCTGTGTTCAGATATAATGAGTCTGCGATCCTCTGCAGGAGAGGGGAGGAGGTTAGTACAGCTGGTGCCCCCCTCCATGGGCAGGCTCAGGTTGCAGCGGCTGCTGTGTCCGTCTTCTCTGTCTTTATATGCCACCTCAGCAGTTTCTGCCTCAGCATCCGATACCTCCCTGTCCTCTTGTGAGTCTTTAGGTTGTGGTCTCTGCTCCTCTCCCCCTGCCTCAAGTCTCACCTCAGGCTCATCTGAGCTCACAGTGAGGAACCTCAGGACCACCAGGTTAAGAAAAGCTCCAATCACTGTCAGCCCAACCAAAATGTACATAAAGCTGAAGGCCACATAGGGGGGTCGCTTCTGGAGAGTATCTTTCTTCTGCAGGGCTACAAAATCCCCAAAGCCAATGGTGGTGAGCGTGATGAAGCAGTAGTAATAGGCGTTGAAGAAGGTCCAGTCCTCAAAATGAGAGAAGGCCGCAGCTCCAATACACAGAGTGCTCACGCAAGACAGCAGACCCACCAGAACCATGTTCCCCATGGATACCTCCGTCTTCCGTAAGCCCAGGCCCTGCTTGGCTCTTCGCAGGAGGTAGCGGACGAAAGTATTGATCCTCTCACCCACGCTCTGGAACATGACCAGTGTCAGAGGAATGCCCAGGAGTGCGTAAAACATACAGAAGGCCTTGCCAGCATCAGTTCGAGGAGTAATGTGGCCATAACCTACAAAGTCACAGTATATTGCAGGTCAAATAATGTCAAATAGTACTGTTTACTGTCTATGAACATTCTGAGGCATCAAGGTATACTGTAGGCTACTACTGCTTTCAGCAGCTCACTTGACAACCAGTGCAGGTCAAAGGCAAATCTCAAGTTTTTAAAGTGGCTATTTGTAAGTTTTCCCTGCTGCCAAACCAGGTTTCTTGCAGGGAGTAGGTGGTGGTGATTGACGCTTGACAAGAGCGAACCATCATTGTCTTTATAATAGAAGAGGTTATAATACAACATCTGAGCAGTGCTACAGCGAGTCACTATTAGAAAGTGATGAGACGGGCCGGGCTAGCTGGATGGCATGCTAACTTCAGTAAAAGAAAACATGTGATAGAAACAAAAGTTAACATTGTCCTGGAGACAGCTCTTGGCGAGTAACAGGATGAAATTTGATGCTGAACTCGCAACGTTACTTCTACTGGTAAGTAAACGGCTGTCAATGCTAACGGTGGCTAAGTAGCAATAGCAAAACTTACAAACAGCTCCTTTATATTAGGGCTCAAACACTTACAGCCAACTCATTTTATGGTGGGTAATATAGCTGTCTATATGGTTAAACGTGGATGAATCAATATTGTGATTCATGCAGGTTTAATGTGAAACCCAGTGTGACAAAATCATGGAGCATTATCCCCAAACTCTGCAGCTGTGGACAGCTTTTTAGCTCGGTGTTTGAGTTGTTCTCATTAACGCAGAAGGCCAATATATTCAGAAAGGGCTCCAATAAAACCACAGTTAGGGTACTGTTAGCAACCAGGAACCAAGATAGCAGCCAGCTGGTGAAAGCGGGTGAAGAAAACCAAACATCTGTCCGCTTGTTTTATTATTTCTCTGCCTCCTTCTGTTCAAAAAAATCATTAATACAGCAAGAAAATTATAAGGTGGGCAGACAGCTACCCTGCACACTGACACAGGTATCTACATCATCATGTACATTACATGACTCAGTTGTAAGACAACATAATGACAGTTCAGCCTCTTGATGTTACAGGCTCTGCACACCCACACAGGTGCTTTCACAGAGACCTCTGCTCAGGTTTAGGCGAGGCAGGAATGCTTGTAAGGACCAGTGAGAATGAATGAAAGTTGTAACGTCTCCTACAGTAACGTGGGGTGACGTTACACTTCCATCCTACTATTTGTTTGTTGTTGCTTCATCCACCATGTGTACACACTCACACAGTCCTCCACCAACAGTGAGTGGACCATGGAGTGTTAAATAACTGGAAATTCTGAAGAGGAAAAAATGAGAAATATAAACATTTCCTTTTTAAGCTTCCAGTTTTGATTTGCTCTGGTTCACTGGTTAAGAGCTCCCCAGGCTCTCAGTAAATACCCATCTAAATATTGTCATCAGTACGTGACCTATCTTGAAAAATATTACTGCATATGTATTTGGGTAATTGAGATGTTTAAAAGGTTTGCAAAACCTAAATATGAACATTTAAAGTGATACTCCACTTGTTTGAGTATCAGTTACCAGTTTTCAAAGTGGAAAAAGTATCTAAAAGGTCACAGAAAGGTTCAAGTCCTCCTGCAGCCCTGCAGTGTGACACACTTGTCTGCTCAATATGTTGCAATCAAATCTTAGCAGAATATTACCTAAATGACTGCTTCCATCTTAAATCTCCCATGATTCTGTCAAGCACCTAGAAAGTTATAGCAATAATGTGACATGTGTCGGCTCACATGTTTGACCAGGTTGTGCATCACAGGAGTGTATTTTGCCATATTTTAGCAGAATATTACTGTTGGAATAAACATGATAATCATATAGGTATGAATGTAGAGCCAATGACACTCGATGAGAAGTTTCAGGAAGTAAGAAGTTTCTTTTTTCTCTTTTGACTATATAAAAATGTCACTGTTGGAATCCATGACAACTCTGTGGATCCATGCAGACCACAGACAATTATAAACTTTTTACAGCCAGTCCAGCAGGGCTTAATATTTCAATTAAAAACTAAGGATTTTTGGTGGAATAGCCCTTTAAATAATTTTCTGTGCAGTAATGCAGGTTGTTAATTAGTTCTTTACTGTCCACACGTTGCTATTCAGTGGCAAATCATCATAGTCACAAACTTAAGTCGCCATCATGCAAACACACACAAAATGTTGTTTACTCCCAACACCCTGTGCTGCACAGTTTCACCTGTTCAATGTGGCCCCTTAAAATTGGGGCCCTATGAAAGGGCTCGCCTTTAAACTATGAAGCACACACACACACACACACAGCCGGGAGCTCCACCACAAGCAGAAACTCAGAAATGTTGCTTGTCCTGTTTTGACAACACAACCACGCATGAACGAGCACTGCAATGCTGTAGGCTACTTGCCAATCGTGGTGATAACAGTGATGGCAAAGTAAAAAGAGCCGGCGAACTTCCACTGCCTCCCGGCTCGGTGCGGCTCCGACAGCAGGACCACTCTCTCCACCTCCCTGTAGCCATCCTCGGTGAAGCCGTACTTCTTCTTCAGCTCGTTCAGCTTCTGCTCCAGCGCCCTTCTCTTTGAACTCTCACTTCCCGACTCTAGCGCGTCGAAGACGGCGGCTCCTATGAGCAAGTAGAGAATAATAGAGAGGATGAGGGAGAGGGTCCTGATGTTCTGCGTCTTCATCCTCAACTCCGGAGTGCGCGCGGAGCAGAGGCAGGGAGGGAGGGTGCTGCTGCTCAGAGGCACAGACGCACAGAGGACTCCATCCATCCTCAGAGAGCTGATGTGCTGAGGCCCCTCTGGCCTGCTAGGATTACCGCAGTATATAGGTTGCGTGTGGAAACTTTAGCCTGTTCTGATAGCGTAGGGTTGGTTTCAGCTGTTGATCAGGTAAAATTGCTCCAAACTCCACATGTCTCCACAAGTTACCTGAGCTCAACAGCTGGCAGCACCACGACTGTCCACAGGATGTTAGTGTAGCCTACTTAAAGATGCTTAGATATGGGCCAGAGACATCTGAAACACTGCGCTGTACCTTAACAGTATCTGTAAGGGTTTTTAGAAGACCCTCCACTCATAATGTGCTTTCTCAAGTTACCTGGATGTTTGACCTTCACTGTGCAGAATGATGTTTTAGGTTGTTTTCACATTCAGTCTCTGTGCTCACCTTTAATCTGATTTTCTGACTTTTACGGAGGTCAATCATGGTCCAATATGCTAGTGAAAAAAATGTTTCATGTGAAGATCTTCAATGCATGAAGGCTTCACTGAAAATCATCTAGCTATTCAATATGGGAGACATCTTGTGTCCGACAGTTAAACTTTTGAAATGAAAACTATTTATATTCACAGATTCAGAGAGGGAGAAGGAGTAGGTGTAATCTCAAGTTTTGGTGAAAAAACTTACTGTAAAAAACATTATTATTCAAAGCAAAAGGATTTCTAAACTTTACCATATTACCATAAATGCTGAATAAGGGATATGATACATATACATAGACCCTTCCCTATAGACCTTCCTCTCTAAGGGGACAAGTGGACCCAAACCATCCCAGCAAAATGTCCCCAACAGCATAACAGAGACCAGATCCATTCACCATATGGGTCAAGCATTCAGGCCCGTTCTCCTGGTGTACGGTGCCCTTGCCCACTTTTGAAGAATATGATGAAGGATGACTCATCTGACCATATCACTTTTTCCCCACATCTCTGTAGACCATTGTCTCTGGTTTTTACACCACTGAACTCTCAAATGTGCCTTCATCTCTGTGATGAGGGGTTTATGCACTGAAACACTATAATATCCCTCTCTATGACTGTTCTTGCTGACACAGTCTGATCACGTCTTGACGTTCTCAGTCTCCTGAGGAAGAGCTGCTCCTCTCTTTTTCCTCACATATCAAACTAATGCACAAACGTCATGCTCATCAAATGGGCTGTCGACCACAATTTCAAATGCAGATGTCACTTTATTCACTGTTCCTATTGAAACAGCTGAGCATCTTTGTGACTGAAGCTGCTGCCATCTGTGCCCCACCAATGAACCCTCTTTCAAAGTCACTTAGATCTTCTCCTCTTGTCATCTTGACACAAAATCAGATCAGCTGGGCCTGCTCAGCATTTTTATACCTGCCTGGATTTTAATTGCTTAATTGTACCATGCAGTGAATCCTTATGTCTCTCCACTCATTTATTCAAACTTTTCCTTTAACTTGTCACTCATTTGTACATATAATTGAAGATCTTTATGTTCTTGATATTAAGACTATTGATTTCCCTGAATGTATGGCAAGTTTATCTTTACAAAAACAAGTGATGCAGGAAAAGTTCAGCTTGTCTCTTCTAAACGTTATCCCATTTTTTCTGAAGTATTTATGCTGCAAACTTTCTCCAAGATGTTCATCACTGATCCTGTGTTTGGAAGGTTTTGGGATACACAAGTGTGAGAGTGTTTGTGTGTGTTGTGTCTGTGGCTGCCACAGAGAAGCACAGCAGAAACAGCTGGCCTTTCCAGACTCTACTCTCCTGATTATTTTGCCCTGTGAAGCGTTCATGTGTGGAGTATTCACAATACACTCGGCTAAAGTATTGCTCTGAGCGATGAAGCATTAGCTGGTGGCAGCACTGACCTTTATCAAGCACACTTAGTCGCTGAGTGATCCGCCCAGCCATCGTCATTAACTAAGTCCAACAGGGACTGGCTGAGAGAGACGGCAGAGATGATTTGTATCAGTGTGACAGGATCCTGGTTTGTGGAGCTTCTCTGAGGTTTTCAGGGACATCTGCTGGGTTTTTGTTCACTGTCATGCTAATTGGGTTCACAGCAGAGCAACCAGAAAATAGGCTGACTGCTGTAGCTCCATGCTGCAAGTTATTTCAGTTTCATATCCTGCATGAAGTTCCCATCTACTTCCAATTTGTGGGGCCTATTCATGCACTAAACGAGGCCATAAAGAGCCTGAGATCTGTCATTAAAATCCACATTTATTGCCTCTACTCCCTACAGAACATATGGCTATCTCTACGCTGTGTTTTTTATCTTCCAGAGACAGTACAAGACCTTATCCCGCTTTAGTAAGCAGAAATGAATCTATTGCCGAGCAGATGTTAACAGCGTAGCATGCAGACAAGTCTTGATTTTCTCTACTGGCAGTAAGAGCAATTATCTAGTCCATGAGAGATAATAGCCCCGCCAGAGTCCACTCAATAAGAGCACACAGTGCTTACATTGGTATTATTCAAGATCAGTTCCATATGCAAATTTCACATTGTGTGTAGGAAACAAATGATACACAAAATAATGTTATAGCCACACACAGAAACATCACTTCATCAGTATACTGTGTAATCACTGCGAAGGGCAAATGACTTATTTTAATAAAGGCCCTGTGGTTTAACAACAGCTTTCTATCCATGAAGTATTATCTGGTGTACTCATCTCATTTCTCCTTGTTCTACAGGCTGGTTCATATTTTCCCTTTATCTTCCACAAGAAAGACATTAAGAGCAGGATGTCCACTGACTGCAGTTGAGACTCATCTGTCCAAGTGCTATCCCCACAGGAAATGAGGCCGGGGAATATACTGCAAAGATGATGCTATCTTTACACTGATAACAGCAGGTGACTGCAATGGAGATAAGTTGTTATGATGATCATGTAGTAGAGAGACACAATGTTTTTTAGTCATAAAAATAAAAAATGCATGTTTAATAAATAAATACAAACTTTACTTACAGGCAAACGTCTTTTTGGTGTCACGGGGGGGAAACAGGCTTGAACTTTGCAGCTGATGTGAACAGCCGTTTGAGCCTTATTAGCCAAAAGGGCAGCGACGTGGTCTTAAATTCCTCTACGTCACCGTCATGAAGAGCTTCTGATGTGAGGATGACTGTGGTGACGGAGAAAGTAGTTTGTTTTTTTTTATCATATGGATCGTAAATGACAGTGTACAGTGTCGCTGACTGTCTTTAGAAATGAAATTATAGTCATTGTTTCAATTTCTGTGCAAGATCACACATTTTGTCCTGTCATTGTCCTGGTGACTGGTGACTACATCATCTGTACTGATCACATTTCATAGTGCTGAATACTTTGATTTAAAAATAATGATTTTTTTTATAATAATAATAAGTACATGCATGGATGGATGGATGGATGGACGAGGACAGTTTCACAATGACATATTAGCCCTAATGGAACAGCCCAAATGGAGAAGAGGTCACGTTCTACAGACTCCCTGTAGTTTCTGGTCATGTTTAAACAAATGAGATGCACTGACAAAAGGTTAGAAAAGTCACATAACTGTTGCAAAAGTGAAGGAGAACTAGAGAATTAGAAAAAGCGTTCAGACTTTGATGGCACTCAAATACACTTAGATTCCTTCAAGCTTTATACAGTATCACCAGAGGAGGGTGATTGCATGCAGTGTGAATAATAAAAAGTCTGTATTTGAATAACATTTGAGAAGCTCAGTCGTGATTTCCCTGATAGAGAATCACATGGACTCATGGACTTGAAACTGACACAACAACACTCTTTATTAATCCTTAATTTATCCCTGAAAACACACTCAACACCTTTATATAAATCACGGTTGCCATAGATCCCTTAATTACATTGGACAAGGAGGTTATGTTTTCACTTTTGGGGCAGATCAGGTTAAAGGGCCTGGTCCAGGAAGTCACACTTTTCTGAGAAGGACAATTTCATCAATTTCTCAGGTAATATTGTACGATATGTATCTTGATGTACAAAATCAGACATTATATAGTGTTGAAATCTGTGAGTTTGTACAAGTTGAGGCAGATCCAGATAATAATCTAGATATGGTGAAAGAAAAGGCTGAATCAAATTACACAAAAACAATAGCGGCTGCAACAAAGCACCGAGACAATGCATACAGCTGTAGAGGTGTATGCATTGTATAATGCTGATGTCATCATTTGACACAACAGGTAATAAAGCCACACAGCTGTCTTGTGTAAGGATAATAAATAAATCTATACTTGAGAACAATCGACTGTATTTAAATGTACTGTACATTCAAGACTTCACCCTACATTTGGGGTTAATTAGGGTAATAAATGCATTGTAATATATGAAGGTATTTTCAGTGAATTATCTACACATTTTAATGGGTTAATACCCCATCCCGAGCCTTAATTAGAAAATAATTCCTCTGTAAATTTCCATGAAGGAAAGGCTGTTGGTCAAAGCCATAAATCGTGCAGATAACTGATTAAAATACCTTAATATATAAAAAAACATTAATCATCCAAGTCAGTCTCCTCAAAATGGCCTAACTGCATCAAAATTACACAATTATTAATGTGTAAATTAATGGAGTTTTAAGGTAAGTTTATATGGGCAGGAGGATAATGTCTCAACTGCCCTCAGTCTCTGGCTGTCTCCATCAGCACAGTGACCACAGGTCAAAGTTCAAGTATTTTGACGTCGCGGTTACATATAGGTTGTTTTACCAGCTGTTAAATGACTATGTTATAATCAGTGTCAGGTTGAATATACACAGTCATTAACATAAATAAAGGAATACGTCTATAACGTCTAAAAATTATTACCACGTAGACACCATAATAAAATATATCTATGCATCGATAATAATGTGGACCCTACAAACACAGAGCCACAGTAAGTACTCATCACATCACCATTGACATGAATC